TTAATTCTAAAAGGTTTGTTTATAGCAGTCACATCTTTTAATTCACCATTTTGGTATCAAGGTGTTAAAAAAAAAACAATTAAAAAAATTCTGCTAATTTGCAGACTTTGTCACAGGGCTGGATAAAAGTGAGATTAAAGAGATTAGATTGCTGCAGTGTTGTAAACGTGTAATTATACCTAATTATTGGAAGAAAAAGGTTTCGGTCTCAAAGTGTTCTCAATATTTCACAGTTGTGCAACACAAATCTTTAAAAAACGATTTCATTTTTCTGACATTTCACACAGGGCTGTTCTAGATTGTATTTCATTCCATCATAACTAGACTGTTCTTACTAACTTTAAGCTAAAAGCCACACTGATGCACAAAGCAGTTGATCTCTGCCAGCTGGTGTGAGGCAAGGTTAATTACTGTCCATTCCTGAGGGAAAAGAAACTTCAAAATGGCATTATAAATTGATACCTGTGTTTGGCGCTAACAGTGCAGCGACAGTGGGTAATTAATCACTATTAACAATTTATGTGCCATAACTAATTATTCTTCGTCAGAGGGAAATAAGAATGACAAAACAAATCATGCAATGAAAAGGCAAAAATGATTATCTGCCTACAGATTGTACTAATTATTTGAATTACAGGAGCTCAGCCTCCTTGCAATACTCATTTGTTTTTGTCTGTTACAACATCTGCACATTTGCCTCGGCAATAATGCTAACCCAAATAAATCATAATATATATGCTGCCTGGAAATGTGTCAATTGAGATAAAAAATGATGTTCTTTTGCTCATAAAACTTTTTCATAGCCAGTACTAAAATCCAACACAGCAAAAATTGAAGAGTTGAAATTTCAGGGTTAAACATTTCAGAGTTGATTTCAACTCCCAAAGTGTGATTTAAACTCATTCTGATTGAAATGGTGTTCAGTGTTGGCGTTGTTTTACAGTGTTGATCCAGTATTGTTGGTCAACTGTAGTCCAACTCTGCAGAGAGTTAATTAATCCAAGCTCCGCCAAGGTTTCCCGCTCAGTTCATTTTGTCAGGTGGAGAGAACAGAGAAGAGTTGTGGAAATGTTCCTCCTCTGCAGTTCTACATGGTAAGTAAAACACATGCTATAATGTGAAAAAGTAATGTGATTCTCTGAACAACTGTAAAATACGACTGTATATCTGTGGAGATTATCTACTTTAAAAGGACTTGTGTGTTGCCATGAACTAAATGGCCACAGTCACAGTGAGAAGCTAATGTTAGCAAGCTGCCTCGTGCACTAACCCTTAAAATCCTTTTAACGTATATAAATGAAAATAAATAAGGCACTTTTAAAGCTGGTAGCAATGACAATATGCTTTTTTATGTTTACATTTTGAGGTTGAAGCTAATGTTTCTGTTTATTTTCACATGTAGTTGCCCTGTGAGCATCACCAGCATTACCCTTTTTATTTCCTGCTTTTGTGTTAATTAACTTTTAACTTTTATTTCAGAAAATATGCTGGTTCCAGTAAAATACAAAACAACTACAGAAGTATGTGAAGTTGGAGGAGGTTGACTACATGCAATTTCATGAAAAAGGTGAGTAAATTAATACATTTTTGCATTAATTATTTTAACTTTGATTTCACCTGAGATGGAATGGGTTTTGTGAGGGAACTTTATTAACATTGTCCTTGTGTATCATTTATTTTTCCCCAGTCATGCTGCAGTCTGGAGCATCTGCGCAACCAGCAGAGTCGGTATCCATACCTCCTCCCTGTTGGACGTCAGAAGAGCAAGAGTGACAGCTTCTACATCACCATGGACAAGCATCTCATCCCATAACAGGCAAACCGCTTCCTCTGGGCATTTGATGAACTTTTCAAAGCACATTTTGTGTTTAACATGTCTTATGATGCAGCATTGGTGAATTTCTACACATTCTTGAAAACTGTGGAAGTTGTATATTGTACCTTTATTCACAATGTATTGATTTACAGAGAAAATAAAATGTCACTGTTTCAAAATTGATTATTACTTAATACTTAAAATGTTTATTTGAAATCATTCTTAAAAATAATTTTAACACTTTGTAGTGTAAATACCTGACACTTAATGGAGTGAAACTAACACTAGCCAGGTAGTAAAAAAAAAAAAAAGTGTCGTAGCAGAGTTACTTGTCTCAGTGTTATTTTAAATCTGTTTAGCGAGTTGGAAAGGGAACTCTCTCTCTCAGTGTTAAATGTTTAACTATTTCAAAAGTGTCGATTTGACTCTAAAAGGGTGGAGCTATATAAACCCTGAGAAAGGGTTGAAATCAACTCTGTGGTAATTCAACACTGGTCTTTAAGCAGTTTGATCCTTAGACTTATTTAGGCCTTCATAAACAAAGGATTGTAGAAAATGTCTAAATAAATCCTAGATTACCCATGTAGAATTTGAATGTGTGTGTCTTCTTCCAGTGCCATGCCAAAACCAGACGTTGACCTCGCTGTCTGGTGTTCTCACCAGTCCGGGCTACCCGAGTCCTTACCCAACCATGATTCAGTGTGACCATATCATTCGTCTACTAGAAGGCTACAGAATAATTCTGGACTTCCTAGAACCCTTTGACATAGAGGGACACCCTGATGCCCCCTGTCCGTACGATATGTTGAAGGTTAGTCATGTGACTTCTGAACATAACACACACACACACACACAGGAATGTGACAAAGCAATGTATTCCTCCTCATGCTTGTCAAGGCAGTTTGTTACCCGCTTGTCCACCTCGGGTGATAAAACGGTTTGGCCATGCCGTGTCCTGCATATTTCAGTTTGTCTGGGTATAAATCAGTCAGCAGATTAATGAATCAACTTCTCTGCTTCTTATGTGTTGTTTCCCTTTTACTAGATTTCCACCACTGGGCAGGAGTATGGACCCTTCTGTGGATCGATGGCACCCGGTCGCATTGACACAGGAAGTTACCAGGTGCATGTTGCGTTCAGATCGGATCAAAGTGGGAAAAACAAGGGATGGAAGATCAAATACACAAGTACCAAGTTACACACATTGTAGTATATTTTCCACAGTGATGTATCTTCATCTTGGAATGTTGTTTTTTGTCAAAGTTTTAGCACTGTGTTGATGATACCCTACTATATTTTGACACTGAAAAATATGCTCTGCAACATTTAAAACATTACCTTTCACTTCTCAAAATAAAAGGAATTTAAATAAAAGTGACACAAGACACTTTTCCTGAGCTTTATTTCCAAATGTTGAAATCAATGAGTCAAACACTTTGTCTTGTAACCATCACCATATGTGATAAAAGAGGAATTTTAATATAAAAATACTTAATACTAAAATAAGTTGTGCAGCTGCTATTTCTTTCATTGAAGACAGAAAAAAAATGGCTGACTTAATGTTCTAATTCTGTTGAGTAGTTTGTAAATCAGCCGTCTGGTCTAAGAGTCAGTGAATGCTTGTCATTTAACCCTCATACATTATGCAGCTTGTTCTCAGCAACCCCAGCTCTACTCCTCTATCTAAACAGTCATCATGAGGCTCTTCAGACCCATGAAATTGCCTCTCATTTGACACTTTTGCATTCACTCACTAATGTTTCCTCCGTCTGTACTTTACAAGTGGGCCAAAGAGCATGACTGGATGTGGGAATGAAACACACTTGTGTTGATTTACGTATATCTGTTGCTTCAGTGTTTTTTGTTTTGTTTTTTTCTTCATGTCTAATGAAATAAGTCCACAACATTTCTCTGTTAACTTGTGTACTTTATGACCTGATTATGTTAACTCTGACTGAACTGTCACGCTGCTATTTTCTGTTTTCTTTGAAGGCCACAACTAAGCAAAGCCAGGTGCATACTGACCCATCCATCACCTCGGCATTCGCAAACCGATCTCATGTGGATGTTCATTCGAAGAACGTCATCTGCACACATAGAATTGTGTTTGTTTCCAGCATGAAATGTCCAGACAGTCCTCGGGCAACTTGGTATGTACTTGCAGAGCAACCCTGCATTTGTTACTGAAACACTGTTAACTCCTAATCTAATCCACCAGACTGTGAGACATATGAGAGCACCATCGACTACTCCCGTAGAACTCTCGCTTCTAACTGCGCCTAGTTGGAGGCAATTCCACAGGAAGTACGCACACCATGAAACCCATTAAGCAACAGTTGGAAGATAGCATGCAGCAGCATGCAGCCAGTTTGCTTACAGCTGATATACTCATATACTATATATATATATATATATATATATATATATATATATATACACACTAAGTATATATATACATGATGTTGATGCAATTGAAGGAGATACAAGAGGTTAACTTGAAGTTTAAAAAAAAGTAAAAAATGTCTGAGTATGCAAATGCATTACTAATAAGTATTTGAGTGTATTTAATGCATTTTGATTCATTATAAACATTTGAGGGATAGTATAATTAGAACACCATTTACTATGATTATAAAGGGTACCTAAAATCACTTAATATTGCTGTTTAATTGAACAGATACCAAATTGGGAATTATTGGGGCGCTAACATGGCAAATCTTCCATGGTTATTAAACAGCTGCTGTCAGGTTTCTTATTGTAAAATGCGTGACATCATTGAATAAAAACAAAGATCTAGATGACTGCCCCATTTCACCGTGTATATCATACTAAAGTACAAGCCAACAGCAACATCTCATCCTCATCAAAATGCAAAAAGATGATCATTCCACAAATTTGAATCTATTGTCATTACACTGTCTCACTGTTTGAGACAGACCAGATGACAGCCATGACAAAGGCCATCACCTACATGACCCATGAGTCAGAGAGACCTATAGAAATCATACACACCATCTTACACTGCCACCAAGACTGATGCATTACTCTATTAATGTGTATAATAGAGGATCTTTGATGGGCTCTCATCCAGAAATACTGAGACCACGGGACTCTAAGGTGAAGCCAAGTCGTTCTAATCCATAATGTGATCAGTGACGCTTACATGAATAAAGTGATATACATCTTATCCAGCCTCTTTATTGTTGGAATGATTATGGAATTCACATTAACTCATGAAAACTTTTATTTTTATTTTTATTTTTTACTGTAATCTCTTTGGTCCTCGTCAGAACTTGCATATATACCATGCAAAGAAATATTGAGATGATGTTATCTGTATGTTTGTGATTGCTGCTGTCGGCTGTCTCACACTGAATAAAAACACAACCATGCATGATCTTATATTGATCATACTGATACATTTATATTTTATCTGTTCATTTACTTTGGCCCGCAGTTTCTTTAAACACTCACCCTAGCTTATTGCTGTACGATGCACATGAAGTGTGGTATAAAATGAGAATGACAAATGTCACATTGAGGTAAGTGTAAAAAGACTCAATAAGTGAAATGCTATGGCATGGTAGCATAAGAGTTTTCTCTTTTTGCATGACTCACTTTGGAGGATTACATACAGCATGCATGTTACTGTATGTGGATCAGTTTGGTTGTCAGCTGATTAAAAATAAAAACACACTGCTTAAAATCCCAAATCATCCCTTAGTAAAAAAAAGTATTGAATGTGATTTCCAAAAGATATAAAGTATGTTTTGTTTAGAGTAATCTTCCTACTTCAGACAGTCAATCTTTATTCGTACAACGCCAATTCACAACAAAAGTTCTCCAGAAACTTTACAAAAAGAGCAGGTCTAAAGCTGTCTTGTTTTCAGCTTCATGTTAACAAAAACAGTGCTAATCTTCTGTCTAAATTGGTAGTGTTTAAGGGCTTGCATGATGTAAACAATAATACTGCTTCAACTGTACCATTTTAAAGCAATCATTTCACATTTTGCTGATTGATACCACCTCTGTAGCAGTCTACTAAATATGGAGTTCAAGATAGCAGCACAAGATTTAATTATCTACAAGACATTAATATCTGCCAGTTAGAACACTTAACGTTCATAATTGAATATGTTGTGTCTTGTCTTTTGTTTTTAAACTGAAGGTTTTGTACAGGACTATTTGTTATCCAGAAATCCTGGAGTCTAGTCACACTGTTGAGGTTGAAGCAGAGACTACAATAAGAAATGCGGTCGCTGATAGGCAGATTTCAAGCGTGCTAAGCTAATATTGCAGGCTGCTACTCCTGCTTCATATTGAAGAGAGAGTTCTGAGATTGTCATCAATTGTCTCGACTAAATTACAGCAAAAAAAAAAGTAGGCATATTTCCTAAAGTTTTGAATTATTGCTTCAAGTTTAAATGTATATTATTGTCATAAATTATTTTTCAGTTTGTTGACTTGATCAGAGTAGAATCCATTAGAAAGTTGGTGCCAGTGGGTAACACAAACATGTCTTTGAAAAACATAACGTATGCAAATCACCCTGCTCCCTGTTGAGGCGTTCAAGTGGTTTGCAAGTTGAACAAAGTGTTTGAAATGTCAACATCATTGACATTCATAAATCCCAGCATTATGTATATGATCAGTAACACAGGGACAATCCCATTCTACTGACCCTGAGGCAGGTAGTGTCCTTTATCTGTCTCTGCTCAGGTGCCTAGTCGCCTCCGGCTGGAGTTTCAACACTCTCCTTCGAGCTCTTCTCGTCCACCTGCTGGCTGCTGTCTGGCTGGGTGTTGCTCCTGATCGACTGCACGGCCTGAACCTGCTGGAGACGCTTGGTCAGCTCAGCTTCACAGGCTTGCAGCAGGGCAGATGTCCTCGTTCTGTCCCAGCCCAGTACTGGAACCATAGAGTCCACCCCTCTGTTCACTACCATCTGCAGATCCAGGGAAGAGACTTCATTTCAAACACAGGAAATGTGAACATGTGAGGAACAATAATGCATTGTATGGATAATAAATCCTGCTGTAATGTTTCATGTTTTTGACACTGAATCAGAAAAGATAAGTTAAATTAAGGGTTCAGTGAGTGTTGTGGGTTAATTAAACTAAGTTGTTTTAAAAGGGATTTCCAATATTTTGCTTCTCTTGAGTATACAAATGATCGTAGACAAATTGTTTATTTTGCACTGTAGCTCAAGTACATACCCTTTGATGATTAAAAAGCACATTTTCTAAGAAAGTATTGCTGTGTTGTGTCCAGACTTGCAGTTTTACTTAAATTGCTTCTTCATTTTTATAGCTGTGTGCTAGACTTGATATGGTATGTAATAGCATAGGGCCTTAAGTCAGATGGAAGGATGTGCGATGAAGCAAATGAAAGCTAGAGAGTGTCCCCTAATTGCTGAGTCATTTAAATGCACTTTGGTTTCTCAATCTAAGCAGTAATCTACATGTACTGAATAGACTATTCAAATAGTTCTAAGACAGACTGACTCCTCTGATGCAGTAATATACAGTACAATAGTTTATACATGGATAACAGCCAAATGAAGAGTATTTTCATCTGCCGACGTTTTAGTCACTTTGGGATCAGCGGTGTAAGTCGACTACCTGCAGGTCTTCAGTGGAGAGTCTGGTTTCTGGGCTTGTTTTGCCTTTTAGCACCATCAGTGTCCTGTACATGAATCCTGAACCTGAGTCCAACTCCATTACATCCGTCATGTCCACATCTCCAGCCCCTGACGCATTAAAAAACAGTTATCTCTCACACTTATTTGTTATATGAGGGAATAGGTTTTAATAAATCACCACAACATGTGACATTCAGCAGCAACAATGGTTCCACCTAGTGTCCAAAAGGCACAAGTGCAGCTCGCATTGGCACGAGATATGTATCGCAAAAGGCATAATGTTAAATAAGATACTGATTTCTATTGAGCTTACGGATACACACACACAAATATGACATTTTAACCATATATAAAGACTTAACACATAATTTATGAGCCAGAAAGACAATATTTAAAACTATTAATCTTTCTGAAAGACTAAGGCAAGATTAGAGTTCTTGTTTTTCGTTTATGCTGACTATTTCCAAAGAGAAACTGCTACATAATAACACTGTTGAGGAGAAAGCCGTACCTTTCTGGCTAGGCTCTCCCTGCTGTCCATCCTCTTTCTCCACTGTTTGGAGGTAGAGCTGTAGCAACTCCTTGGACTGCCTCTCCTCCTCTCGTCGGTCCAAAACCGTCTGCAGCGTCTGCTGGAGGTCAGCAGTCCTCTTCTCTGGGAAGCTCAGAGCAGAGGCTAGCTCAGGGCATGGAGAATCCACTAAGGTCTGAAACCGAATGATAAATTAAACCTGTGCAGGAATAAAAAAATAAAACCTATATGTGCTCTAAATCACTAATTAAATTAAACTTGTACGGAAACTAGAGGACACCTATGGCATGCAGCTGCACAGCAGAATTCATCTGGCAAGGTACAGCAGTGTCTGTGAAGAGGGAGTGCATACATTAAAGGTGCATTTGTGCTAATGTAATATTCAGTAAATTAACAAGTGTCCATAACAAAAAAGCTTTCTCTTCCAAACAGCTGTGCAATGTAAATGATTTTTCCAGGAGTAGATCACTTGTGTTCTTCCACCCCTGCCATAACAGAGAGGTGTTGTACATCATATGGCCTGGAGTATAGTTTCTGAGTCTGTCTGCGGAGCAGGACTGGGACAGAACACAAGAAGGAGGCAATAGAGTAGTTAATCAACTATTTCAAAAAACGTCTGACAACTGAGGACAGTGTTTTTTTCAAGTAGAACTCTCTCTTTGTTGCCTGTAACAGTACATACTTTGTGAGGCATGACAGTGAACACTAATGCTGAAATAAAGGAATAGTGCTAATACCTGTAAGTCTGCGTCAGACATGAGGATGATGCTTGTGAGGTCCTGCCTCAGCTGCTGAGCCAGGTCCCACCAAGGTGCTGCAGTGTCAACAGTATCAGTCTCCAGAACCACTGAGTCTCTGGCCATCCAGGCTGTGCCGCCGTCCACTGCGATGAGAAGTAATGAGTATCAAAAACAGGACTCTGTGTTGTATTTAAATAAATGGGATAGAAATAGGCCAGCTTACTTCTTCGGACAGGATACCATGTCTCTTTCTCATGCAGAAGCATGAACTTTGTGTTTAAGGGTAAACACAAAAAATATCCCTGATCCTCTACTATCGTGCCATCATCTTCAAGGACCACTCTGACCTCTTCACTGGGGCTGAAGCCAAGAAACTGACTTCCTGTGGTAAGGAAAGAGAAATACACTTGAGAAGAGCCATGTAAATATCATTTGATATGACAACTTTAATAATCTTTAGCCTCTTGTTATCCTTCATTCACACATCTTATCAGTATGAACAAGCTTGGTGCTATAATGATTTCAACTTCACAGTCATCATAACCTTTGTATTTAATCGTTTATATTATTAATAGTCCGAGGCACCTTATAAGACATCTACTGACAATTCATATAAATGTCAAAATTGTGAATATTCTAATGCAATCTGTTAAAGCCCATATACATGATGTACTATAAGCTGCACACAGACCTCTAATCTTCATGGACAGAGATAGTGAAAAGTGAAGAGTGCAGTGATTTAGGCAACGCCTCATGACTAGCATTCAAAGAATGAGCAGGGCAACAATGAGATCTTTCCTGACTTTTCATGTTTAGTTCCTGCAAGTTTCAACACGACGAAAATGTTGCCACACAGAGCTCATTTTTTGATCATGACAGATAAGTTAGCAAAAACTGTGCAGCAAAATCAGCATTGCGGCAATACTGTCGGCTGACAACAGCTCTGAGGATGAATGTAGACTACATGTTGATATTTGTGTATCACTCATAGACTGTAAATATAAAGGTTGAACTTACAGCCTCCGTTATACACCACCGTGTCGTTCAGCAAGCACCAACCATCACTTTATAAACTTAAAACAGCTGAATACATATAAGAAACTTTTTTCAAACACGGTTATTATTTGAAATAGAAGCTTTGCAATTCAACATTCACCCTTAAGACATGTTTACAAGTTAAAACCCGTCTTGACAACTCACCTTTTACCTTCAGTTCATCCAGGGAGGGAACTGCCAACCCATATGACTTCTGTCGAGTGTAGTTGCACACCTTACACGGTTTCCCATCTGTCATCCTATGCTTAATATGGAGAAATGTATTTTCTCCTTGTTAGTTAAAACAGAACAGCACCAACAGAACTGTCGCCGACTATCTTGTCTTCGGGGTTTCAAACACGGAACCGCCGCGCTGTCTTCTTCTTTCTGACGTTTAGCAGGAGAATGCATCTTCGGTGTCTCGTTACTGCCACCTTTTGGATAAAGTTAATTACTACAGTATCTGGTTAGGGGAGAGTTCACAAATAGGTGCAGGCTATGTTAAATGCAGTGTGTCTAAAATACCAGGATTTCCTACTGATATGGAGAATCATTATCACGCTGATATATTTTGAAACTAAAAAGCACATCATCTCAAGTTTTGGGCACCTGACAATGTTTACAAAATATTTAAGTCTACACTCATGCACTTTAACTTGTGTCAATACTGTCCATTTACAACTCTGTTTTTGCACATTTACATTTAATCTTCCATATTTAATTTACTACCATTTACAACTCTGTTTTTGCATATTTACATTCAATCTTCCATATTTAATTAACTACCATTTACAACTCTGTTTTTGCACATTTACATTTAATCTTCCATATTTAATTTACTACCATTTATGACTCTGTTTTTGCACATTTACTTTTAATCTTCCATATTTAATCTTCCTATTTAAGACTAGTAATGCTCAGTTAAATCCTTGTTGTATATATTCACATTCTTATTTTTGATATTTTTTTTGTACTTATTTACTTTGTATTTAATATTATATTGTGTTTAGATTTGCTAACATTGTGTTTTTTACTCATATTGTGTGTTTGGACAACCTGCTGCTGTAACGCCACAATTTCCCAGTTTGGGATCAATAAAGTAATTCTATTCTATTCTATTCTAAGTCTTGAAAATCATTTTAGTTTACATCTTTTGCAATTATCTCTAGATACATGTATGATAAAAGATGCCAAATAGTCAAATCAATTGCTCTATTATAAACTACTCCACGCCCCATACCCATCATTCCACATTAAATCATTTCCTTTTTCTTTTCAATTTAACCTCAGATGTGCTATTGATCAGTCCTGCTAATGCCATAAAGGTCACCAACTTATTTTTCTCTGGGCCTCATCTAACTATTATAATTATACTTCACATTCATTGCCATTTTTCCGATACTGTATCATGACTGCTTAGATGTTTTTTTCTTCTGCCCAGCAAGACTGACTGCCTCTACAGATAGTCCTGCTTTCGGCCTAATTCTATCAGGCCTATACCTTGCAGCAGTAATTTACATCATTCTTCACCTCAACAGTTACATCATTTTAAGTCAAACCTATTAAAGGACTATAAGCATTTCCCATATCTTTTGCATATTTGCTTAAAAAAATGTGCAAAGATTGATTTCAGTTACAAATCTCCCTCTCAAGCTTTGTAAATGAGCTTGTGAACGTGTAAATAATTTTCCAACAACTAACATTAGGTAAGCAAATTGTTACTGCAATTAGTTAGCCTATTGCTCTTATGTAGGCACTAAAGCAGTCATCTGACCTTGTTAGGATTGTCTAGAGTAATCAGACTGTTAGGTGAGGTCTGATCATCAAATGAACAGGAATTGCTGTAGAGCTCTGTAATAGTGGCCTTAATTTAACCTTTTTTTTTAAACGAAAACATCACAGAACACAAAACATATATTGAGGCATGGGTCCTTGATTCAAATCATGTGAATGTCTTGGACAATATATTACAATAAGACAATAGGCTCAAGACTAAATCTTATGAAGATGAACTCCGTTACATGAGTAAAAGACAATTACAACACAAGACAAACAAACATCTATGTACAACTATATACATAGGGGTATATATATAAAAAAATACAACTAAACAAAAACTGAAAGAGAAAAAACAGGGTTACATTAACCATTGTTCACAAATATCCAGGGTTTTGTTTGCTTGTTTGTCTTTCAGTCCATGTAGTGGCCTATTTGTAGGTAAAGTGTTCCATTTCTATTTTGAATTGTTATATTTTGGTATTTTCTGATTCCATTTACATGTGTGAATACAATATTTCCCATACAAATAAACAAGTTTTAAAATAAATAATTGTTCACTATCAGTCCCAAAGTAAAATTGTAACTTATAACCATATAACGTGGTGAATGAGGACTGTTTACCTCATTCAGGAAAACCAATCGAGTGGGATTCACTAGAGCAGCCTGCAAAGCAAACAAGTATAGGAAGGACGATGGCATCCACCGACCAACCTGATCCACCAACTCAGGTCTATAATTATGCCTTTAAAAAAAATTAACATCTTAATTTCTGATACACAAACAAAATATCATAATGTGTGAATACTTTGCGATCAACGGAGTTTCGTTTGATTCCTTTATGACTGCTCAGCGAGCAAAGGTTAGCACGCTTTGCTAGTTAGCACGCTAGCTCCTGCAGCGTTTCAAAAGTTGTCCCAGACATGATTGAGTCCACAAGTGGACACGAAGGACCGATCTGAAACTCTGGTGTCTTAGCACATGTTGCTAACCTAGTTTGCAAACGTTAGGTGTTCACCTCGTCCAAATGTACGCCCTTCAATTCGTATCGTTAAGTAGCCTCCTCTCTGTTTGTTGTGTGCAGGATTTGTTTTAAATTATAATGTACAAAGGTCATTGTTAGCCGAACAAAACACGGCCTGTTGTGTGTCCCTCGTACTTGCATCTTGAAGAGTATTGGTCATTCGGAAAGTGGAAAATAAACTTTAAGCAGTTGCTGCTCATATATCCTGATGGACATGCATACATTTTAAAATGCTTGGACTTTCAGAAACATGTGGTACACTTCGTGCTAACCTGCGTTAACTTTGCATTGTTCAAAACGAAGTCTTTCTAAAGTGACATCTCGAATAACCATCAGAATTATAAAGCGAAAAAAGGAAAACTCAGGTTTATTATTGAGTGTTGCTGAAAATTACAAAATACTTCACCTATTGCAACAAGTAAATAATTGACTACTGAAGACATGATTTACATGATTTACCTTTACAGTTATATTGTATATATTAGTTCTGTTGTTCCATTATTCAACATGCACCTTAATAACTTATCATTTAGTATTTGCCTACTTGCACATAGCTCTGTATATATATATATTTATTTCTCGTTTACTGCACATAGTTATGGTTACATCTGTTAGTCTGATCACTGTCCACTTATATCTACTCTTTTTATATTTTGTATTTTTAAGTTAAGTTTAAGCTTTAAGTTGTATTTAAATTGACATTTAGGTTAAAATGTTTCGTCTACTTACTGTTGTTAATTTACTGCTCTGTGTGCCTTTGAATTGCCCCCCGGGGACAAATAAAGTTTTTTTTTTAATTGAATTGAATTGAATACTGAGACCATGGTAGAAATAGACTGTGATGTGTACATTTTGTAGGCGCTATTTATTTTTTTGTTCAAATTGAGTTTGGTATTATTTAACTAATATTGTGTGTTGTTGTTTATTGAGTTATTCCAAACGCTTTCTTTCTTTATAATATCTTTTTGATATTTTCTTTTGCTAGATATTCGTTTAGTAAATTCAGTTTTGCATAATTAGTATTTTTTGTTAGGTATTTGGGTGACACTGTGGACACTTAAAGTTACATGTAAGAGGCAGATATGGGATCATCATGCACCTGGTTGGGCCTATGTTTACTTTTTTATTTGTATTGTTTACCAGCACAAGAGAGGACACAGGAGTTTTTTTGCTCACTTTAAAGAAAGAAACCCTCAGAAACGTAGATCTTTTGCAGAGACTACTTTTGCCTGTGTACACCACATCCCCATGGTGCATCGGAGGCCTTTTGATTATGTTTGATTTAAGTTTGATTTCGATTTTTTTTCGGACAAATAGTCACTTCACATGTATCAAGACTATGCCTTACTATGTCCTTAACTACTCGTTATGAAATGAAACTTTTATTACATGACTGTATTCAACAAACATAGCCTTGGTCTTCCACTAGATGGCACTCTTATACAAGTGTTTGTTTATCTTCTCAGCCTGTCCTTCCACCTGGAGATGCTCCAGCAGCTGCTCCGAGAGAAGCACTGGTAAGAATTATTTTATTTAATTTTTTTTACAAATGACTTGACTGCCTTAATGAACAAAGCAACAAACAACAGTTTTCTGCAGCCAATTTTGCTGGTCTTTTTTTTGTTGTTGTTGTTGTTGCTCTGATTGTGTGATAAGCATTGAAATCAGCTGCTTTGGCACATATTGTATAAAACAGAGTGAAATTCAGCTTTGTATGATCTTTCAGACAAGTTTCCTTTTTTTGTTTATCATCAACAAACTTCTTTTTCTGAACCATTAAGATGATATTACACATTTTCCAGCAAGATAAAGTTTAAACGGCATCCAATAGAAGCTAGTAACTGTAAAAAGAATGTAGAAAGCTTTATTGCTGTCACACTGGTTTCAAGTATACTTTCCCCACATACTTGTGTTAGTCTGTTGTGTGGCACGTTGTGTTTTTCAGTCCAGCCAATGATCAAAGATGAGTCCCAATTGAATTTGAATTGGTTTGCCAATAGTCATTAGACACTTCTAGAAGAAATGAATTGTGTCAATGAAATTAAACTACAGAATATGACACAATATTACAAAGATTAGTCCAGTATCAATTTTACACACTGTATTCCTGCACCAACAATGTCATCAACCAATCACAGCCCACATACATTATCAGTGTTATGCGCCTGTGCTTTATTCAAAATTACTTTTTATTCTTAAAAGTTTGAAAATTAAGTCAGTGCAATTGACAAAATCAGAAACTTCTTCAGAAATCTGCATCATCTAGAAACTAATCAGGGCAGTAACTGAATGAGCTGCTGCACGGTCAGTAAGTTAGCTTGTTAGCTAGAGTCATTTAAAGGTGAAAACTTTAGTATTGTTCATTAACATTAATGGGTGAAAGAGAAGCCCATAGATGATGTCCAAGCAAGGTTTTTTTTTTAAACCTATTAATTAAGGTTTCTATAGTTACTCTGGAAAAACAGGTCTGAAAAAAATTCAAAAACTTTTTTTAGCTGGCATGTCATACAAACCAAAGACCATATTAAGTTGTCCATACTGTAAATATGTGCTTATCTAAAAACAGCAAGTGACAATAAAAATTTACGTCATGTGTGAACAAAAGATTCTACAAAATATGCCCGTTCAAGTGATGACAACGATCATAGCCAGGACTTTCTCTCCGCTAAGTGGGATGGAATACATCACAGGTACATTCACTGTCCTTGTATGGACAACACATCCAGGTTAGAGCAGTGCTGCATTGTTCAGCCTACATGTCTCAATGTCATTCACCACCATTCACTCTTCATCCTCCCCCCATCATCCCTTCATGCCAAGGCTAATTTAATCCTGGGGTTATTGATTGTGGGAGCATTCTCCCAGGCTTTCTTTCAATTTACTTCAATTTCATCATCCCAGTGCGCTTCGAGACTGCCTCCTCAAAAAGGGAAGAAATTCTTGTTATGAGGGTCCTGATTCGAGACTGGTTGACAAGTCTCCCCCACCACCACCACCACCACCACCATCACTTCCAGTCCCCTTTTTCTCCTTTCTCTTTTTGATGAGCTGCTCTTTCCCAGTTAAGTGGATTATTACAGTAGGGATAATTCTTGTCACATGGCATTATTTGGATGAGGTGAATAATTGAAATTTGTGTCTGAAAGGATTTTATCTGGATGAGAGGAAAGGGAGTGCTGGCAGGGTTTGGAGGGTAGAGAGAGTGAGGGAGAGAGAGGGGGAGAGAGAGAGAGAGAGCCTGAGCTTACACGTTTGTATAACATTTATGTGCACATGTGCATGTCAGACGAGCCAGTGTGTCAGGCTGGGGACACCAGTCATGTTAACAGGTTCTGACTCACCTCGCCCAGATCAGCAGGCCCTGGCACACTGCGTGGCATGGTCCTCCTCTGTGGCAAGAGGGCCCAGCTCAAGGGCCAAGGCCACAGCCTCTACCCCCAAACAGGCCAGAGGGGCTGGTCTAGACCTGCAAAGAGAGAGAGAGAGAGAGAGAGAGAGAGAGAGACAGCGAGGGTGGGAGAGACAGTGTGAGTGTGTGTTCCACCACAGATGACTGGTATACCAGTCACTGCCAGTAGCTGCTGTTGCCGCTGGCAGTAATCTTCGCTTGCTCTCAACCCAGCCTGCTTTCTCTCCGTCTAAAAAACAAAACAAAACCCACCCCCACCCACCTTCAACTCTGCTGCCTTGGCCATCACCCCCCCCCCCCCTGTCACCTCCTTGTGTCTCTCTAGTCTTTGTGCTCTCCTCCTGTTGTGACACCCTGCACTGTGCACAAGTGTGCAAGACCCTTTGTGCACATGTTACATGAGCAGATCCAAAAGCAGATTCACATCCACATAACAGTGTGGAACATATTGTGTAAAGATACGGTTCCAAATTCAATTAAAGTGTTTTTGATTTCCTTATCAAAAAAGTTTTTTTTTTTTTTAGTTGGAGTGATATCTTCTTAAACTCTTAGAAAAAAAATCTAATAGATATGGAAAGTTAGTGCTGAAGCAAAACATTTTCATAATCACTTTTCTTCATAATATTGCTAAATATGCGTCTTGTATATTTCAGACAATATTGAAAAAGGACTTTCATAATTGGAAAAAAAATAAATCCAAGGTAAAGTCTTCAAATTCCTTGTTTAGTAAATTATTAGGCCTATCCTTGAATCTCTGCCAGCAGAGACATCCAGCGCCAAATGAAAAACAACGCGTATTGTGTGTGGGGATGCAAAGTGTTTTTATGTGTACAAGAGTATGCACAACTGTGTCACGCGCGCACACCTCAGTGTGTGTGCAAATGTTGAGTTAACTGAGTGTGTATGTGTTTAGGTTTGTGGGTTTTAGCGCAGCAGAGGGAGGGTGGTAATGGGAGGGGAAAAAGGAATTGTAAGAAGAACATCCCCGGTCTCACAGCAACTTCAAAAGCTCCGCTTCCCCAGGATATTAAGCGACTGTGATGAAAAATTTAGCAAGCGTTAAATAAGCCACTTTGAAGTGATCTGTTTTGGCTCAGCAGTCTCCAAATTTCCGTAGCCCCTCTGCAATAGCCATCACACTATAGAGGGGGGGGGAAAGGGAACAGCGTGTTAAGTGCAGGAGATGTGAGGGACCTGGCAGGTTGGAAGTCCGTCCAGTCTGCTTCATGAAGGCCCCACTGGCTGGCTGGTACCTTTTTTCTCTTTTCTTTCTGTGGTTCTTTTTCTCCTCATTTCCCCTCTCACTCCCTGACTGCTCCTCTGCTGAGCCCTATGCAGGCAGGCAGGCAGGCAGGCAGGCAGGCAGGCAGGCAGGCAGGCAGGCAGATGTTCCTCATATGTCTGCTTTGAAAAGAGATTTTTTTTTTTCATCACTTGTGCGTGGGTGTATCACAAATGTATCACAGCGGTGAAACCAGGAAGTCAGAGGTTACTCTCGGGTTCATGACTCAGTTTTTTAAATTTTTTATCTTAAATCACTTTCTGTATGGGCCACGTGTTTGAGATTTCTTTTTCTGTGTTAATGAACAGCTCTACTCTTTTAGATAACTTGCTCTATTTAAAAAAAAAAAAAGTGGATTTATCACATTTGAAGTGATTTGAACCGTTGAACATTTACACCACCATAAAGCAAAAGTAACAAGAAGTTAATGATATTTGATAATTCATATTTCAATTCATTTCACATTTATCACTTTTAAACCCATTACTTTAATTTTGGAGGACTCCAGTTTTCAACATGCTCCAAATTAATTATTGGGGCAGAATTGGAAATGGGAGCCAGTAATGAGTCTGGTATGGTTACTCCGTCCTGTCAAGAAACTGGGCTACCATTTAGTTAGTCAAGGGAACCTTCTGTGAGATTTTCCTTTTTTTCCTCTTTGCTCATTACTTTAATTGTAATTGTAATCCTTTATTGGAGCTGTCTGCAGTAAAGGAGAGTTATAGTCCGAGTGGGGGCGTGAGCCATAGAGATATTTCATGATTATTGGAGAAGACGGTCACTAGGTGGCAGCCACTAGTTCGGCCTCGCTGTAATTACTGAGTGGGAAGTGATGGTGATGAAAGTGTGTGTGTGTGTGTGTGTGTGTGTGCGTGCGCGTGTGAGGGGGTATGAGAAGAGAGTTTCTCAGATTGTAACACGTTCCTTGAAAGAGAAAAATCAAATCAATCTGATCACCTGCCATCTCACAGTCAATAGATTTAGATTCTGTCACATTTACTGTAAACTTGCTAACAAGCTCTATGGGAGCACAAAACAAAGGAACCATATGTCTTCATATTTCTCTGTTTGACTTCACAGAAGTCCACTTGTTTTGGATGTTTCCTGACATATTATTTCTAAGTTCGGGCTGATGCAGAGTTATGTAGTCTATAGCGATGACATGGCTTTAAATGTATTATTTGCAACGGCTCATAGGTTGACATGTACACATCTGCACACCACTTTCTATTTCGGTGGTCACAGGGAAGTTTTCTTTATGAAAAGCATAAAAGCTCTATTCTCGATTTTCTCAGCACAACACTCATTGTGCATCATGCGCTGTTTGTTTCGTTGGTTAATGATACAGGAAGGGCCCTCCATTTTATTGTTGCTGTGTTGCACTTTTTCCCCTCCTCGCCCAACCCTGCAGCCAGCCTCCTTAGAGGACTCTGTATGAATTCTCACTGTCATGTCCAAGGACGAGTGGCGCAGGGTCAGCTAATTGCTTTTATGATTATGATTTCACGTCAGATTTATCGTGCATGCTCGGAGCACATCTTCCAGGTCCTGCCGACGTTGCTGGCTCAGATGGGGAAAATGAGTTTACAGCTTCTGGCTGTGACTTCTTGTTTAAGTGCAGGTCACACTTTTTGACTCATTAGAGTTGAACGCGGGGGAATCACAGAAACTTTTCCTGTAAAAGCCTCTGTTTTCTATGTCAGTAAATGAACTTGTTTTGCTCATATTTGGCCACAAAGGAGCAATTCTTTACTTTGTCTTCAACATGTGCTGATGTTTGGAGGTCATGAGTGAGGAATGACACAGACAGAGATTTTTGGGTTTTG